TACAGTACAAACTGCATGGAACATTAAAGTGTGTATTTCAGAGAGTCTTCTATTTTAAAACATGGATTTGTTTTATCATGCTACAACTTATAGAACTTTCTATGGCCAATTTCACACCTGTAAAATTTGACAATCATCTAAACTAGTAACAACCGCTTGTACGTGGGTGAATAAAATTATACCTTTGAGGTTTTTTTCCCCTTGAGATTTGCTTCACGTGCCGGACTGATTGAGCTCCTCTTATTTCCACACAGTTTGTCACAAAGTACTCCAAGACCATCTCTGGTTTCTGGCCCTGGACTGCAAGGGGGCTCCAGTAATAGCTCTGCCTCAGACCACGCAGCTAGGGCGGGCCGGAATCAACCAAACGCAGCCCAGGGTTTCTAGCCCCGGCCTGTGAGTCCACACCACCTCACTGCTTGTTACAGGTGGGAGAGCTGGCCTTGAGGGCACAAGAGCGGGAGAGCTGTCCCCGTCCCTCACCGCTGCAGCACTCAGCAGAGTGGCCTCAGCACCTCACCTGGGCAGCACAATAGATCTGGCTCTGATGGGGCAGGTGTAGGAGAGCCGACCCTGACTGCGTGAAAGCGGGAGAACTGGTCCACCCCTTGCTCATCGCTGCAAGGGCTGAACTAGCCAGGGCAGTGCTGGAAAGCTCCCCCTGGTGGTGAGAATGAAGGAGAGCTGGGGGCCAGGGGATGACCAACCCTGCAACTGCCCAGGCCTGGGACCAGGGTTGAGTTGGCTGACCCCAACATTCACCCCATCTGTGATCTGCAGGCGCATTTGTGCTCAGGTGGGTGTTTTCACTAAAAACTGAGAACGAAACAGTGGTGAAAGACTCTTTTTTTTTTTTTTCTGCTGTGCTGTGCAGTGTGGGCGATGGGGAGGCTGCGGTTCCTTGGTAACGAGGTCAACAGATAAGAGGCTGCCTCTCGGTTCGCTGATTTAGATGTAGGCAGTATGCCTTTCGAGATCAGAAAACACAGAGACCTGCAGTTTGAGAAGTGATGAACTTGCCCTTCCCCCAGACAAGGCTGTGGATTTATAGGCTGTCTTGGCCATGCTCAGCACCTCGCTGCAGACTGTGCAGAAAGGCTAAGGTTTCTCCTACTCATCCCGGGCAGACGGAGTGATCTTCCCCATTCCTGCCTTTTTCATGTCCGACTCAGCATTGGGGATGCAAACAGCACTTACTTCTAGTTATCAGTAAACATCCCTCTCTCCTCGCCCTGTCAAATGGGACACTGTAATGTAGAGTCCCAGATTATGTAGATGAGCCCCAAGCTTCTTGACTGAGTTGCTAGGCCTGGTCAGGACAGTATTCCTTTGGTTTGGGCTGAGTGGCTTCTTAGGAAGAGGTGTTAGCTCATCTGTAACCCAGTAGAATGGACCTTCTATGTTCAGAACGTGTTTCTCTGGCTGCTGAGCAGTCAGAACCAGAGAGGACATGCTAGTTGTGGCAAACCTGCTTAGATTTCTGTGTGGGGATAGTGGGCCTTCCTTTCTTTGTTGTAGAGCTAGGAAATGCAGAAGAGAAAGAGTGACTCTCAACCTCACGAGGACCTGGCTTCTCACGAGAGAAGAGACTGCTAAGTGGTGTTCTTAGGAGGTCTGAGGGATTCAAGGCCACAAACTCCCCCCACGACACTGACTGAATACTTCCTTAGGGCTCTCTCCTTGTTACTGGAAAGATACGATTTATTTGGTTGTGTCTTTTTGATCATTCAAAAACTGATGATCAGGCAGAAGGGAGTGACCAAGCCATTCAGTTTGCTACGTGGACTGTAAATTCCCCAAAGTCAGAGGTGATTGGAGAGTTTGTAGTAGGAAGATGTGTTTGGAAGCCTCAGGAAACACCTTCATCAACATCATGGTTGAGTGAATGTGTTCACTAGAGCCTAGCAGGACCTATTAGGGACCAGGAGCAAGCCAGGGCAATAAATTCCTCCCTAACACTAAATGCCAGTACTGCAGCCCTGGACAGTGTAATTGAGTAAATGGCATCAAAGGGCTTGGGAATTCATTCTCTTTGTTTGAGCCCAGGCGCTCCCTGACTCCTAGAAGTAGTTCCACTGCCGTGTGGAGGGGTTTGTCTGCTTCCATATTAAGGGGATATAGTATTTGGATGACAAATACTCAACGTTCCCAAGGTGTGGGTTCTCAAGGTTAAGTTCAGGAAAGTCCATTCTCAAAGATAGAATAGCATGTTGCTTGACAATAAGGACTCATCTTTAAGTGTGGGGTGAGCTTGCCTTTTGTGCCCAGCGCCGAGAGAATGTCTCCAAACCTAGGTACACAGGGTCCATCACTCAACGTCCTCCTGATCCAGTCAAGGCACTGTCAACACACAAGGGGGATGCTGCTGCCAGAGTCACATGACATACAGTTTCACAGCAGCCTTTCCGTTATAAGCCCATGGACCACATCCTAAGAGATGTGGCATACAGAGAAGAAATAAACCAGCGATACAGCCCTCGGTTGTGAAGCACCATGCGTGGTACATATTGTATGCTCTCTCCTTACACACAAGTGACAGCGTGTTAAGTCTTCTAGCCCCCCCCCCCCATTCCCCCACCCATGCTACCCCTGTCACCAAACACGTGAGGAAGACATTGTGTTACGACTCAGGGCTTAGGATGTGTACAAAGTTAAGAATATGGCGAATTTCTACTGGGTTCTAGTCTTGTAGGACTATTGTAATATGTGCAGACCACCACCGGTTGAAATAGGTTGTGTGATGGAAAACTGGAAGTGGAAGGGACGCACTTCAATGTTCATTGTTGCCATGGGTAGCAGCAGCACCATCTGGCCGAGGTCTTGTGCATGCTGTAGTTATATGACAAATACAGCAACTACTCTGAGATTCAAATTTACTAAAAATTAACAGAGTTTTACACAGAATATTTCCTTTAACTCTGACAAGTGTTTAGGCATTTGATGCCATTCTCTTTATTTTATACAAAAGAAACGAAGTTGCTTGCTTGTGGCCGCTCAGTTCTAAATGCAGTGGCATGCTCCTTCAAGCATGAACAACCTGCCGCACCTGAGAGACGGGGTCTAAGAGCTTTATGACCCTGTGCTGTTCGTGTAAGAATTACTTGACCAAATGAAACTTGGATTGGGGAATTCGAATTGAGAAATGTCGCCAGGTCACTTTGAAATGTGCCGTCAGTGTAAAAGACGTCAGATGTCAAAGACTTGGTGTGACAGGAAAGAACATGTACTATCACAATGATGTCATTTATTATCTAGGTGAAATAATACTTTGGACTTATTAATATGAATAAAACATATTACTAAAATTAATTTTACTTTTTTTGGACATTTTCAGTTGAAGCTACCAGGAAAATAAAAATAAACGCATACCTCATATTGTATGTTTATAAAAATAAACATATACCTCATATTGTATTTTCACAGACAGAGCTAGACTGATCTGTGTCGCATTTTAGAACATCTTCAACTTTTGCAAATAAACCTACCTGAGAAATTCATTTTTCCACCCCCTTTGAAAGCCTGTAGCTACAAATACAGTGACAGTCAACTTTTATAAATTCTCTGTTTGAAAAACAAAGATAGAGCGTGCTGTTGCCTAATGCTTGTTATTATTTCTCTTCATGTTTCCTTCAGTAGACTGTTCTTAGGGGTGCAGGGAAGAGTTGTTCAAGAGTTTTTATAATTCATCCATTGGTTTAAAAAATACACACAGAACTGAGGATGTAACAATGGCAGAGAGGCTACCCAGCTTGTGTGAGGTCCATATTCAATATCCATAGCATTCTCACACAGACACACACACACACACACCACACACACACACACACACACACACACACACACACACACACACACCCCAACAGCCAAATAAACACAAATGCATGCACAGATAGCAGAAGCTCTTTTTAACAGGTTGCTAAAGAGGCAGTGGCCGCAGTTTATCAAATACTCAGGACTGCGTTGCTCACCTCTGGAGAATATGGCATTCAGAATTTTATAATTGTCCTAACACATTCTTATAAGTGTTCCACACTTGCATCGCCCCGCAAACACCACAGGTGTAATTGGAACCACCGGAGTCATTGGACCAGAGTTCCTATATTAGCTCACCTGCAGGTCATCTGTCCCACAATCATCTATGAACTTTGCAGGTGGAATCATTGGAAATGGAGTTCCCACGTTAGATCACATGCTGCTCCCTGAAGGTCCTCAAGGAAGTTCCCCCATGACCCCCTTTACAGCAGCCGGTTGAGTACTGCATCCCCAGACTGCATCTGCACCAGTTTTTGGTCAGTAGGAACAGTAGATGGCACTTAGCTCAGGCTTCCTGATATAGCACTGGGTGTCTCCCTCTCTTATACACCACCCTTCCATTACTGGGGTTCCACTGCTCAGAAAAGTGTTCATAACCAAGTTGCAGTTTGAGGGGATCATTTGTTTCTACCTTAATTCTTCTGAAAGGAGAAAGCAGAGATATAGTATTTTTCTGTATAACACACATAACCATCCCTTTGCACCCCATGTATGCCAAGGAGAACAGATTTCTGTTTTCTTTGTCAACAATGCAGAGCAAAGACAGCCGCTGAGCAGCCTTTATGCCCTTGAATTTGACACAATGCCTCCAAATATCACCTAAGATAATAAGCTTTTTATACATGGAGTTTTTAAATATTTTATGTCCTCAAACTGGCAATCTTCCTGACTTGGTAGCATATGCGTTTTGTTCCTTTATTTTATTTTATTTAGTTAAACATCAAAGAAAAATATTTCACTGGAGTTCCCTAATGCCCACACTTCATGGAAGAATTTGAAACATTATTATCAGGAGAACGTGATTATCAAAGAAACATGTTTGTTATATTGCAATGAGTAATACATATGGCATGTGTACAAGGGGGCATCTACTTAGACGGGAGGGTTTAAAGGATGCCATGACTTATGAAAACCAGGAGCACCCTGGGGCTGAAGTTGCCCATGTGAATAAGTGCGGGTCTTCTTACCTTGTGGATACAGTGCCAAGCCACGGCAGCCACACTCCTTCCTCTGGTGAGCCTTCCCATGGACGACTCTCTTAGGAGACTCACCTCCCTCGGAAGCACCATAAGAATGTCCCTAAGTGTCCACTCAGCTGAGGGATGGCAGGACGTCCTCTCAACCAACGCAGGCAGCTGCAGCTTCTATATGTTCTTTCTAGTCTCTTCTCATCTGGCGCTGAGAAAATCTGGGATGAAGATAGAATTACAGAAATTAATCGTGTGCTGCTATCATTATACTATGAAGGATCATTGCAATTTTTTTTTTTTTTTTTTTTTTTTGGTTTTTCAAGACAGGGTTTCTCTGTGGTTTTGGAGCCTGTCCTGGAACTCGCTCTTGTAGACGAGACTCTTGAACTCACAGGGATCTGCCTGCCTCTGCCTTACAAGTGCTGGAATTAAGGGCGTGCGCCACCACCGCCCGGCTGGATCATTGTAATTTTTTTGTAGAAAATACATAAAAATTCAAAAATGTATTGCAGCAAATAAGTTTGAACCATAAATTGCCTGCCCTTAGCTCACAGCATCTATATACACATGTACGAGGGTGAGTGTGTGTTAAAATGATTCCATGCGGATGCACTCGTCACTACACTTGACTAATTTCTTCTAAATACCAAAGTTAATTAATAGATATCTTTTAACTTTAAAAGGCAAAATAAAAATTGTTTTCTGACTACAATTCCAAATTTATGTATCTTAGCAACTTTATTTGAAATCCAAGCTATCATTTCCCATCGAAATGACAGCCATTTGGCCCTGGAAGATGTTTAGATGGTGGGCGAATTAACAATGAAAAGATGTTTTCAAGGACGTGTGGTTAGGAGCCTAGACCCATATTGCTGTGGCCAGAATTGCTTTTGCTGGCTTACATACATGTAACCTCTCTATGCCTCAGCCTTCTCATTTTATTTTATTTTTTATATTTATTTATTTATTTATTTATTATGTATACAATATTCTGTCTGTGTGTATGTCTGTAGGCCAGAAGAGGGCACCAGACCTCATTACAGATGGTTGTGAGCCACCATGTGGTTGCCGGGAATTGAACTCAGGACCTTTGGAAGAGCAGGCAATAATGCTCTTAACCACTGAGCCATCTCTCCAGTCCCCAGCCTTCTCATTTTAAAATGATAATAATAACAGTGTTTACCCCATAGGTATGGTAGATATTTACATAGCTTTTATGTACGTGTGAAGCTAGCAGTAGATACTTAGCAATGTTCTAAGATTTGGTGACAGCCCATCTATTAAAATCAGATAGCAATGAGACCAGGGCATCAAGGTCTTCTTTTGTTCTATCAGAAAGTTCTAACCAAAGAGCACATGGCTAGTATTTGCAGGCATACAAAGTCCACATTGGAGACAAATATTTGTGAGTGAACAAGCAAGCCATGGGTCAGAATCAGCCTACAGTGGTTCTCACTGTTTAGACATGGATTAGAGAGATTCTTCAAGCAGGGCTGACTTACGGTATTTAGAAAAGTATCATTTTTTTTTTCTGGGAACTCTTTTTTATTTTTATTGGTGAGACACAATGGAAGCAATTTTTTTCATGATCTGACTATAAAAAATAGAAGACAAACATGCTTGTGGATTAATTTAGACAACAAATAAGAACCTGGAAGTAATTAAAGTAAAATTATGAAAGGTAGCCCAGTAAACAATTCAAGAATGAGTCTCTAAATCCCACTTTAATTTTTCCCGTTGTGTAGAATATCCCACCGCAATAAAAGAGGAAATTTTCTCGTCTCTGCTTTTGTGTGTAAATTATTTGTTCTTCTCTGTACTTGGGATATTATCAGTAAAATCACTGGCCGGTTAAAATGGTATTTCCCAGTAAAGAAAAGTGTGTCTTATATACAACCGAGCTTAATACTTAAGGAATCATGAAGTAACAATTAAGACAAGAGTAATTTATCATACTTGCTTAACAAAGCTGGCTGCCTTCTTAGGAAAGAAATTCTCTATTAAATAAAAGCCCATTGCCTGAGTGAGATAGACATAAAGAAAAATCTTATTCATTCCTCCTCAAACATCTAATTCTGCATTTTTTTTTTATCATTTCTCATGCTTACTGCAACCTTCCAGGCCTTTAGCTTGGCATTATATGATCACTCGATCATGAGGACTCCAGAGATAAGAAGTAACAGTTCCTCTGGCTTAAGTGAGTAGAAATATGAAGCAGAACTCCCACACTTTTAATAGCTTGTATAGCAACCCAACAAAATTATTCTGCTGCTCAATCAGAAAGAACTTTATCGGCTTCTCCAGGAAGCCACATACAAGGGTTTGATCATCCTGTGTCTTGGGCAGCTTAGGTTTCTGTAAATATTCAGGATAACAGCAAGAACTAGTAGAAAAAGATGGTCTTAGGGTGAAAGCTAAAAAAGTAACTGCCCTAAATCATATACACCTGGTCCAAGATACATATCTTTGGCTAGCATGAAGAAGCTTGCAGCCTTCTAAGAATAAGAAAAACACACACACACAAAGCAAGGTTTCTAAACAGGAAGAATTACTTGAAAATAAACTACCATTAGGTGCTCCAACTAGCTTTATGCATGGTAATTTTGAACATTCAATTTGCAAGTATATAGAAAATGAGGAGATCTAATCACCAATGACATGATTTGTTCAATAGAGGAAATTTGCTCTTTCAAAACTGGTATTTTGTGTGCAAAACTAGAACATCTAGTCAACAAAACAAAAAAAAATAAGTGGGCAGCTTGTTCCAACTGAAACATAAAAAAATCACCTAATAAGGGAAAGAACAAAGAAATTATAAAATGACTAAAATTACAAAACTAGTATGAGCTTTTAAAACTTTCTGCGAATTTAAAGCAGATGTTAAAAATAAATTAAATTTGGCGCACGCCTTTAATCCCAGCACTCGGGAGGCAGAGGCAGGCGGATCTCTGTGAGTTCAAAACCAGCCTGGTCTACAAGAGCTAGTTCCAGGACAGGCTCCAAAACCACAGAGAAACCCTGTCTCGAAAAAAAAAATAAAAAAAAAAAATGTTCAGAGTTCTAAAGACCAATTTTGAAACTAAGCCCCTAGACTCATTTCTTTCTTTGACCTTACCTCCTCCTTCCTTATCTACTAACAGAGCATCATTCTATACCAAAGAACATACTATAACCCAAGAATCAAAATCCCTCAAGTACAGGGGAAGCCCACAGGCTGCACAGGATGACCTGTGTCTATCCCTGCATCCTGCATCGCTGTAGCACTTCCGGCAGCTGAGCCATTGCTGGTGATTTCCCCCGCCTGTCCCTTAACTGCTCTATCCTGAAATCATGATTTGACTGCTACCTTGGATCCTTTTGCTTCTGTTTTTTTTTTTTTCTGGCCGGAGACCCACTTAGATTTTGTTCACCACCATTTGCACCAAAACATAAATCCTCTAGGCTCATCCATACTCTGCTCCTGGGTCTAATGGACCAGTTCATGGCTCTTCTGGATGACTTCACAGGAGTTGATTCCGCACACGTCCTAAGCATGCCTCCCACCTCTAACAGAACAAGGGAGAACTGTTACCCAAAGCGGCCCTTTGTGAATGGCTGCCTTCTTATCTTAACTTGGTGTTGCAGGTATTCCCTGCTTCCTCGATTCTCTGCCTCTCTCCTCTGCCTTCTTTGAATCGATTTGCTTAGAAAAGGGGAACTCTACCAGCTTCCCGCCTTATAATATTCCTAAGAAGAGCCTAACTTTCATAACTTTTAAAGTCAAAATAGGAAAATTTAAATTCCACATGTTCTCATTTTATGAGATGTTAAAAAGCAAAGCAGCTACCCACGCGTTAGCGGTGAGCAAACCTTGAGTAAACGGCTGTGTGCGAAGGTTTTTGTTGCCTACTCTAAGACAGGCCATCATTGCCAGATCTACGAGGGGCCAGTAGATGCCCGGTTCAAAAGCAAACCTCTTTTCTTTCTTTCCTTTTTCTTTTAGATATAAAAACAAGCATAGGAAATTTAATTTCACCTCACTATAAATCAAAAGAGAAGAAAGCAGAACAAAAAACAACTTTTGCCTAAAGTAACATTGAATAAATTTTTAAAAAGCATTTTCATCAGGAAAGGCGTTTACCTCTCAGCTACTTGGCTGTTAAGACGAGAAAAAAAGACCAACTATTGCTTTAAGGGTACATGCCAACACCTTTTAATCTTTTATGCTGCTGAGCCTTCTCAGACCCTAAAAAGACAGGTATATATACTTTCAATTCTTTTTTTTTAAAAAACTGGGTGCACCTAGGTTTCATGTAATTCTGTCTATGGAAATTGTATTCATGTGTTTGTGTTAAAAAGTTTCAGCACGCAGTGGCCATGTCCCTTTTTTATTGTTATTGATTTATAGTGTGCTAAAACTACTATTTTATTTTTGATAAAATCCAATTAAATCGTGCTTATGCAGATTTATGAATATAAGCATTTGGATAATGTATTAGGAAGCTGATATATATATATATATATATGTGTGTGTGTGTGTGTGTGTGTGTGTGTTGCCTTAAAAACAGATGCTCTGAACATCGAAAAACATTATGTTTTCATCTCTCAGGTATTTCAGAAAGCCTCACAACGCTGTAATACTTTACATGAGACAACATTCGTCAGAGCCACACTGTCTGTATGTGCTTAGGTTTTTGCATCATTTATTAAGTACCAAATTATCCACTATGTCAGTGTTTGTGTAAATTAAAGTTGGTAAATTAGCCCAGTAAAATTTTAAAAGGAAAAAGTTCTAGCTCCAAAAGCCTCGACAACTTCAGGTTGGTTGCATTTCCAGAACGCTAACTAAAGGGGCAAAATAATGGTAAAGGACAAAAATTGTTTATTTAATCAATGTGAAAGGTGGCTAGTGGTCCTGGGTCTTTCTCTGAAATAGTTAATGTGAATTTTTAAGTTTAATTTTCTTAAGAATCATTCTTAAAGAACAAGATATACATAATTATACAGTTGGTGTCAAGGTGTTATCTCCTTGACTCCTGTCTCAGTTCTGCACCTACAACCTGGTCCCTATTACTTACTGGTGTTAATTTTAAGAGGCCATTACTCCTTCTCCAGGATAATTTTTTCTTTAGATAATTGTTCTTCTGTAGGGTGCTGACCTCCAGTTCAAGGATTAAGAGGAAGACTTATGTCTGGGCATTTAGAAATGTTTTGTTTGTATATGTATACGTATATCAATGTAAACATATAAGCCTTTATAATATTTTCATCAGTACGGCCTATTTTAAATAAGCTAACGGTCAGTTTTTCAAGGCCCATATCTTCACCAGGCCTATGGAGGATACATTTCTAAACATTCTTTCAATTGCCATTGTGAAAAGCTGCTTCGAGACTTAAAAACGCATCCTAAAATTTGCAGATAACCATAATAAGCTACATCATAATAATATATTAGAAACTATTATCTATCTCTATGTTTTAAATTTTAAACAAAGAACAAATAGTTCAGATAACACATTGAAGTGAGTAAATGAATAAATGTCATAAAAGTATATTGTATAAAGATTGTAAAAAAATGAAATTTAATAAGTACAGTTATAACTAAGTTGATTATAATATAAAGGCTATTAAATTTTTAAGGTCAAAGTTCAGTACCCTGAGATAAAATTCATGTTTGATTCTTTTGACAGTGGTAAGATTTTTCTTAAGTTTAGAAATGTTTACAAAAACATCTTTCAAAAAAGAACTTTTAAATAGGACAATTAAATTCAAAATCATGTACAAGAGTGTCCCTTGAAGATAAAGAAAATCAGATGATTTCATGAGCTCAGGGGTAGAAAGACCTCCGCATCAGACTGTTCAGACTGGAAGAAGAGCCGTCGTCTGGGTTGCTCTAACCCACGGCTGCACTACACACCTCAAGAAGCTGAGCCGTTTGGTTCACATTTCATGCCAAGCAGATGCCCCCTGCACTGGAAAACACATCCGTGTAGACTACGGAAGTGTGGACCATGTTCGTCTTCTGTTCCATGGAAACCTGTGTTTCCAAAAAACTAACTCTCCCACTCTGCTTCTAAAACATTTTTATAATCAGATACCTTTACCTTGTTTGTGATTTTTTTTTAAATATTCCACTTGGTACAGCCCTAAGTGATAAAATGATGCCAATCCTGCTTTAATGAAGCCTGGATTCCCGAGCTACAAAGTCCAGCACACCCTGTAAAGAAGTTAGATGGAAACACCCTGCCCCGTGTTAGCTGTGGTGTTCACAAGGGTGCTTAGCATGCCAAGGGAGCTCCCTTTAAAACATAGTTCATCGGGAGTTTTGTGCAATGTGTTTTGATCATTTCTACTCCCCCCGTTCCCCCATACTTTCTCTAATTTGCATCTCCTTCCCTACCCACCAAAGTCTGTGTCATATTGGAAAAAATCCCTTCAAGATCCAATAACGATTCTTTGATGTTTGGTCTTCTACTGGAGGGTAGTCACCGACTCATCACGGGCTACCCTCATAGAGCAAACTGTCTCTCCTTTTCCCACAGGTAACAGCTGCCATTATCTCCACAGTTTGAGATGGACTTGTATGTGCAGACCCCTCTCCTTGCTGGGATTTGTCTGGTTTGGCCTTGTACAGGTTTTGGATGTGAGGACTGAACCACTGAGTTCTGCTATGTCCAGAGGTCACTGTCATCATGGACTGCCTCTGGTTCGTTCACTCTCTCGACTTTTCTACTTTCTTTTCCAAAATAATCCATGAGTCTTGGAAAGGGAGGGTGTGTGTGTGTGTGTGTGTGTGTGTGTGTGTGTGTGTGTGTCTTCATGTATGTATAATTCCTTTAGGGCTGAAAATTCTGGCATCTCTAATTCTCTGCACCTTGACCAAGTGTAATCACTGTGTTATACACAGTCTTCTGCAGAAGCTTCTCAGATGGGGAGAGGAGAGATACATTGATCTGTGGGGGTAGGAATAAAACATTAGGAGTTAGTTTACACTGTGGACATTGAGTTGTATAATGTTGTATAATAGGAGTGGGTTCTCCCCTAGAGCCTATGGCCTATTTAGCTGTAGGTTCTTAGTTCAATAATGGTGTCAGATATGGGTTTCATCCTATGGCGTGGGACTTGGATCCAATCATAAAGCAGTTAGTCACTCCCGTGATGTCGATGCCACCCTTACACCAATGGTAATGTCTTTCCAGGCCAGTCATCACTATAGCTTGAAGGGGCCATCGCTGTCTATGGTTGATAAGCCCCTCAATTCTTTTAGAATATATTTCTCATGTAAGGTCCTGAGTTTTGTTGTATGTATTTTTCACTATTTACTGAGAAGATGGAGTGGTGTTTTTTTTTTTAATTATTTGTTTTGTTGTTTTTCTTTTATTCTGATGAGAGAACATACTATAACAAATGACACAATCTTAGATTCCGGGGTATATTTTAATTGGTCATGGTATGTTATTATTTTAAGATACAACATCAGTTTGTTAATATTCTGTTCAGGATTTTTGTAGTCATTGGGGGTTGAATGGTTTACCGTTTTCCTTTATTAAGCTTTCAGGATAATACTGGTTTCATGGAATGAGATTGAGAATCTTCCCTAGTTCCAATTTTTGGAAAGAGCTTGTGAAGAACCCTCGTTAATTCTTCTTTAAACATTTGGTAGAATTAGCCAGTAAAGTTATCTGATCCATGAATTTTTATGTGTGTGAGAGAGATTTTAAAAATATATTAACCTAATCTCTTCTTATAAGTCTATGGATACACACTCGTTGATGGACAGATTGAGTCAATATTTATACTCTATATTTCTAGAAATTTGTTAGCTTTATATATATATATATATTCTGCCTGTAAGTTGACAACAGCTCCTGATATTTTTGTAAGAATCTATTTTGACTTCTATCATGGTTTTTGACTTCTCTAAGGTTATGTCCCCTTTCTCATTTCTTACCTTTGAGACTTCTCATTTTTCCTTGGTCAGCTGATCTAAAATTCTGTCAGTCCTGTCAGAGCTTTGGACAGAGATTCTCAAGGCTCCTAGAGCCAGCGATACTCAGGCTCACTGCCGAATGTTGGGGGTACCCTTCCGCCCCAACCAGCTTCGACTTCGCCTTCACCAGCTGTGCACTTAGGAGCAGTGCTGTTCTTTCCTGCTCATCCACAGCCTTCTCGGAGTCCACTGTTACAGATTTTCAAATTCTCCCACACCAAAAGTTGTCTTATTAATTGATTCCGTCAGGCTTTTATTTGCTCTGACTTTTGTCATTTGCCTTGGGCAGTTACAATATCCAACTGCCTTATACTGTTTTAAGCAAGTGTCTGTGAAAAAAAAAGGTGGTTTGTCCTTAGTCATGCTAAATACCTGCCCTTTCTGGTGGAAAATTCCAAGGAACCATGGTGAAGATGAGACAGTTCGCTGGGATTAGGGCTCAGGAACTCCAATAGCCCCTTCGCTCTCCCACCTCCATCTCCAGGGTGTTGTGAGCCTGTTGACTTTCCTCAGGATTTCTGGCTGTTGTTAGTTGTAAGATTGCTTCAGGGCTCAGGAAATGTTGGAGCCACAGAGGAACTGTTCTGGCTAAGATTTACTTGAATAAATGCTCTCCAGGTTGCTATAAAGTTGGTTGATTTCCAGAGTTAAGAAAAAAAAAAAGTAATTTCTGACTATTTTCGCAAACTTTCATTGCTTCCGCAGAGGAAGGAATGGGGGCCAGAGTCATCTTTACCTGGTTATTTCTACTCTTGTCTGCAACTCTTTCAGTTCCCCTTGAAACAGTCCTGTGACTTCCTGGTTAGCTTATCAAGGAAAACTCCGCCCTCCACCTTCTGTGCTTCCTTGTTCCCTCATTACAGGGCCCTTTTAAAGGTCTCCCACTCCTTATTCTCTCTGTTAGGGGAATCAGGGACACGGGGACACAGCCCAGGGTGAGCGCTCCTTCGGACACCCATTCCATGCCAGCCACAGCAGCTCTGCTTTTGTCTCCTCAGCCTGAGTCCCTCAGGGTCCTGACCTGAGCTCCTCTTTGGAGGAGTCCTCCTCAGACTGTGTGTCACTGCCTCCCTCTGGTCCTCAGCTGGTCCTTGCAGGTTTTAAGCTTTAAGCTTTAGTCCACACCTGCCGTTCCTCCTTTGTCTTGGTTGTTTTTCAAAATCAAAGGCTTTGAAGCTGAAGTCTAGAGAGCTTGGCATAGAGTGTGTGGGGACAGAGGATCCTGGGAAGGGACTGCAGGGGTGAAGTTCCACAGCTCAGTCACTGATTAGACCGGCTGGGCTGTTGGCTCCTTATTAAATCTCCCAGCAAGACTTTTTAATAAAGCGCTTCTTGACAAAAAAAAAAAATTTCCATTGTTGCCAAAGACAGGGCAGATAGAATAGAAAATGCAATAAACTAGAGGACCGCCCACCGTTAGACAACTGCTACTCCAGGTGATCAGTTTGAAGCTGCAGGATGCAAATCTTTTATGTGGTTAAGGAAACTAAAACCCAGAGAAGTCGTTTCCAAGGTCAGATAATGGTATAACCAGGGTATAAGGCTGTGTTAGCAAGCAGTGGAGGATTTTCCTATTTGAACGCAGTTTTTGACCATGGTAAAAAAATAACCCATTAGTGTTGAATGTAACAATATAACAGAATAAATTACGAGGGAAATCAGTTTCATTTGATTCCATGATTCTGCCTAAGATTAAGGGACCTATTGTGGATGGTTTTATGTCAACTTGACAAAACTAGAAAACATCTGAGAGGAGGGAACCTTAACTAAGAGAATGCCTTCATTCTCTTAGTTAAGATGGAACTAGCAAAAGTCACCCTGACTAAGGTAACCAAGACCTAGAAAGACAAACATGATATGTTCTTGCAGAGAGCCGTGGGAATGTACAGAGTTACAACTTGTGTTTAACAAGTCAGCTCACTAGGGGAGCCCTGCTTGGCAAAGCTTTGGCGTTATTGACTGGATGACCAGGTGTTCCCATATCTTTCTCAGATGCCCTAATAGGATCAGCTGTGGGGTTCATTCCAGGGCCCTTTGAATGGTGTGTTTTATACTTGTTGGACATACATATAGCTGTGGATGATCAAGAAAATGATTTCTGCCTGTATTTTATTTTACTCAGATTGACATGCAATTCTCAATCACAAAGGCAGCCTTTTACAAAGTCAGCTATGTTAGACTTCAGAGAAGATTCAAAGCAGGCTGGTTGCCAACTGGAAACATCAAGTTGCCCCTAGAGAACATAGACAAGGTAATTTACCCAGGTGTTGTTTTCCTGATTATGATTCAAGGCCAGAGTTTGAGGCAAGGTTAGTCTGCAAGTACTCCCCAACCTCAAGGTTCAGCTAACTAATGGTTATTGTTAAGTCTTGACTTCCAAAGTCATTTTCTACCTGGGAAAGAAACATGAGTCAGCATGACATCTCTGGCCTAAGAGAAACTATGTGATTTGTCTAGGGTTTTGAGAGTGGGTTGGTCCCTAAAGATGCAACTTACAATTGCTGTAGATCAAGTTATGTCTACAAGTCTGGTTGTTCTTTTCATAGCAAATTGTATTATTATCATGTTTTTACTATTGGTATTTTTTCTCATGTAATAATTCTTGCTTCATGGTTATAGCGCCATGTCTTTTATTTTTATTAGGTGTTCTTCAATCATTATTCTAAAAGATGTACTGGCATCACTGCAAATATCGTGAGCACCACAAGTGCAAAAAGCTGCTGCGCTAAAAATGTATGAGCTGGTTAACTTGTTTCCCACATATTACAGAATTTCCTTTTATAAGAGAACTCGTTCAGTGCCCTTAATGAAATGTATTGTTTCGATATTGCTATGAAAGAGGAGCGTTAATACAACAATACTCAAGGCCACATACATTTTGCCCCAAAGAAAGCATCATTTGTTCTTTTGAATTTTGAACACTCTTGTTTAAGACATCCTTAGAAAAGGGAAAATTTGAGCATTAGCTCTGTAGGCAATCGAGGCTTTGTTCATTGCCTTGAAGTATCTTGATTTTCAGACCATAGGAGAAGCAAAGTAGACCTTGGAGTGAAGGGCTTTTTTCATGTTACCTTGGTCTTTGTCTTCCTTCCTTCCTTCCTTCCTTCCTTCCTTCCTTCCTTCCTTCCTTCCTTCCTTCCTTCCTTCCTTCCTTCCTTCCTTCCTTCCTTCCTTTTTCTTAAACTGGGTTTCTCTGTGAAACAACCCTGGCCATCCTGGATCTCACTGTAGAGCAGGATGGCTATCGTATCTCACTAGGCACCAAACCCAAACCCAGGGTCCTCTTCATGAAATCATGAAAACAAAAATGCACTGTCCCTGGGTTACAACCTTTTGCTGGCATTTAGTTGTTTTATTCTCCTCTCTCTCTCTCTCTCTCTCTCTCTCTCTCTCTCTCT